ATTTTAACTATGCCACTTACTAAAGCAGCAGAAAAATGAAGCAAGTAGAAGGCATCTTTTCCTTGGCTTTTCTTTGTGGGTTGTTACCGTTCTTCTCCGGCTGGTAGGGTTTTCTCCAGCAATGCTACCTACAGAACTCTCTGGAGGAGACTTTATTATAGGCTGTAGTCTCAGCAGAGAAGATTTTGATGCTGGGAGTTGCTTCTTCAACAACATGAGGACATCCAATAAATTATGCCTTCGGACATCCTGGTTGGAGAATTGGGAGTTGTGTTGTGTCTGAGGGCAGATTTTATACACTGAAGTCCAAAACCTGGACAACTCACTGTTGCAACATTGAGATCTTGGTCCTGAATGCCTAGTGCTTAGCAAGCCTAGCCTGCAGTCCTATTTGTGTTCCTCTTGAGGGGCTTGCTAGACCCTTGAAAGAGCAGGTCTATGAGTTGAGGATCCTCCTGGATTCACAGCTACTGTAGTGCTTCATGGGCAAGTGGAAGGCATAGCTGGAGGGCCTTCTCTCAGCTTTGGCTAATGTGCCAGTTGTGGCCCTGACTGGGGCAGGAGGATATTGCAACAATAACTCATGCCCTCATCACCATGTGGCTGCACTACTGCAATGCAATCTAGATAGGATTGTCCTTGAAGACCATGTAGAAGTTTCAATTTGTCCAGAATGCAGCAGCTTGCTTATTGGCTGGCCCTCGCCGCGATTAATATACAGCACCTGTACTCTGAGCTCTACACTGGCTTCCAGTTAACTTCTGGATGCAGTTTGAGGTGCTGGTCATTACCTATAAATCCCTGTCTGGTTTGGCACTGAAGCATCTTCAGGACAGCTTTCTCCAAGCAGGATTGACCTGTCCAACTTGAGAAAGATTAACTTGCCCAATGGGAGAAACTGCTTGTAGTTCCCAATTTCCGCAAGGTACAAACTCTGGAAGCTTATAGGTGATCCTTTCCAACACTTCTGTTTTGAAATCATCTCAAGCTGAAAGCGAGGTTGGCCTCTAGGATTTTAGCCTTCCAGAAACTGAGCTGTTTTGGAGGGCCTACAGGGATGCTTGATGCCTGGGACAGATGATTATGCTATGGTCTTTGGACTTTATGATTTTATAATGTAAAAGTCTTTACATTATACACATACATTACATTTACCAAGACTGGTTTATTACCTGTGTTTTATTACTGTAAACCATCAGGAGTCTTGAGACTGTGGCAAGTAATACATCTAATAAATAAATAAGTCCATTGAAGTGGGAAGAATAAAAGTCATGGCTGAGTTAATATCAGCAATGTAGGGAAGCCACGTGATCCTTTAAAAATAGGTCAGGGTTGTGTGAATGGTCTCACTTGGCTGTGAATTTCACACCTGGTGGACTTGAACTTATGGATGGATGGCTGATTTTGAGCACTTTGATATGGAGTTGAGGTTTTGTAGATTCATGGTATCTGAAACCAGACCAGAGGCCAGTGTCAGGTTCTCTTCCTTTCCTGAAAATCTTAAGAAAGCAGATCCTGTTTTCTTTGCTGATACTTTCTTCTGTTCTAGATGCATTCGCCATCGAAGTGATTGGGGAGCACTTATTTTAGTTGACGACCGTTTTGGAAGGAACCCAAATAAATACATCGCTGGTAAGGTATCTGATTACTTGAGGGATCTATGTTGGCAGGACATGGTATGGCATGCTCGGCCCTAATCCAATGTTCAGGATTTCCAGCAGGGATGTTCCCAAGGGGTGGGTCAGAAAAGTCAAGATGGAAACCACACCTATGTGATAAAAGCCCTGCCCCCTTTTTAAAGATGTGTTGCCACCTTGACATTTTTTATCACCACCCCCACCCCCGAGGATGCCCTTGCCTACCATTGTTACTGCTATTCAGGAAATATATATTTTTAGTATGCATTTGGAAATCCTGGCTGATAAGTCACTCCATCCTCACAACTAGCTATTCAAAGAAAATATTTTTTTAAAAAAAAAACAGGCTGTGGGAGTGTAGGAAACTCTTGATCCTTTCTTTCGCCTTCCTGTATAGTTTTATAGAATTGATAAAGCCAACACTGCCCTCGTCTTGACAGTAGGTGGTGCTCAGTTTCCACCATATCAACCATTTGGACCACGTCCCTGAAGGGAGTAAGATGAGAGAATGACATTGGCTCTCATTAAAATCTTTCAGTAATTTTAGATGCAGTAAATGGTGGGTGGGGTTTTTTTTTCAATTTGGTATCTGCTATAATAGTAATTTTTTCTTAACATCTTTCTTGTTGAAACAAGGCACACTAAATCAGAGAAGGCAGTAAATATTTATGAATTAATTACATCCAAAAGGAAATCTAAGAAGCTTTAGAAGATATCACTTGCTGGCGCCTGTTTCACAGGTGCAGAGAACCTGTAGCCCTCCCAGTATTGTTGATCTCAACTCCACGTAACTCATCCAGGATGGCCAACGGCCAGGAAAAATGGGAGTTGTAATCCAACATGTGGAATGTCTCACATTCTCCTCCCCTCCCATTTGCCTTGTACATACATGTATGTGCACACACACACACACAATATACACAAGGACGTTTATCCCGCATAATTTGCACGCTAAATTTTTGTGTGACTGAGTGTTCTCTATTGTGTAATTATTTATTATTTTATTTTAGCCTGCTGTCCTGGCGGGTTTTCAGAAGAGAGGCTTAGTTTTCAGAATAAACCTGTGCATACACATAATATACCAGCAAAACAAAGTACTGTTAATGTCTTTCATAACAGTTGTGGTTTATCCTTTTCTTAATTCAAAAGTTCGTTATGAAAGTTCAGCTCTTGGAATCAACCAAGGCTGAAAGACTATCTGTTGTTGCTCTTCAAGGGGCAGACAAAGGACTCTGCCTTCTCCCCACTTCTGTGGAAGGCAGGCCTTGGCCAACCTCTCTTTCTGTCACATCTCTGAGACACTTCTTCCCAGCTGCCTGTATCTTGCCTTGGAATGGGAACAAGCAGCCCAGTTGCACATCGGCAGAGTCCTTTAATTTTTCGAATGTGTCCTTGAGTGAGCAGCTGAGGATCATAAGAACAGGGAGAGTGTTTCCAAAACCTCTCTTCCCACTGGCTCTGGAGAAGTGGGAGGGGAAGTGTACATGGTAAATAAAGAATTTGCCAAGTGTCTTGGCCCATGAGGGAGACATAATAATGGTGCATTAAAAAGATTAGGATTGACTCCCTGGACTATCTAAAGCCTTCTCCTGTTCTATGGAATCATACAGCTTGGACTGAAAAGTCAGCAAAGCTTGTTTTAGAGACATAATGTTACCACAAAATTGTATCCAACTTACTTGGTTCTAGTGAGTTTAGCTTTGTAATCCTAGTAAGGAATTGAGTGGGTGTATCCTTGTCTTGTTCTTTAGCAGACTTTCCCAACTTGGTGTCTTCCAAAAGGGCATTAGACCTCTGTTCCCATAATCCTTGGCCAGTGGGGTGGAGAAGACACTGAAGCTGGTGTCTCTCTAGTAATAATGTAATAATTCATCTCCAATTCATTGACATTTCCCAAGGATTGTCAAAATGGATTCGCCAGCAGATCCGGCACTACGAAGACTTTGACTGTGCCCTTGGCTCCTTAGATACATTTGCTAAAATGAACCAGAATGGCGCGGGCGCTGCACTTCAGGATAACAACAGATCTCTGCTCATGTCTACAAATTCAAAGTCTCTGTCACCACTTTCTCTTCTGGAGGGACCTCTTTCTCTGTCACCAGGAGTTCCTCCTGAAAGGGGAGAGCAAGATACAGTCCTGGAAACAAGTTGTGCTGCAGACAGCATTGCGATTCCTCCGGCAGCATTCGGTCAGTCATGTGATCTCTTTTCATAGAAAAGTTAATTTTGCTAAGATTAAAAAAAAACAAATGCTTTAGCTGTTCTCCTTATTTCTGGAGAGCAATTTGGGTATGACCAACATCCAACGAACATGAAGAGCCGTTTCATCCCAAGCCATCAGTCAGGAACCATGCACCTGAAAATTTTAAAAAATGGCTAAACCTGTATGAGATGGTCAAATTTCATAAGACTGCAGTGATCTCACCTTGGAGATCTTGGGCAGTCTTGTCATCTCATGCAGTTTTATACAAGAGCATTGGAAGCTCTTTTTTGTCTGAAATCTCCTTGTCAGAAATCTTGTAAGATCTCATGCAAGGAAACTGAAATCTCATGAGATAATGGCAGTCTGACAATATGGTAGGTGGATAGGAGTGAGTGAGTGAGTTGGTAAATTCATGGATAGGAGGGAGGGAGGGAGGGAGGAGGAGGAAAAGAGGAAGAAGAAGAAGAAGAAATATTGAATTTCTTTTTTTTTCCAGGAGAGTTCTATCATACTGGGCTTGGGTGGGCAAATCTGAGGGCAGGAGGGTGCTTTGAAGCATGTACAGGCACTAACAGGGCCCCTCTCTGCCACTCCTTAAAGTAGCAGCATCCATTCCTGGGATTGTACAGCTGCCTTCCAGATTGTACAACTGCAGTGCAATCCCAAGAAAATACATGTTGGATTTCAGGAGTTAGATAGAAGGGCACCTATGGGCCCTTTAAAGTACCATTTTTGCTTTGAATCCACAACTTTGTTCAGCTCCAGTAGCTAGCTTCCTCCACCTATCAATTTGATGCTCTGACCTAGGGTAGTTGTGCGTAGGTAGCAAGGAAAGGAAATGAAGATGGATGGATGGATGGATGGATGGATGGATGGATGGATGGATGGATGGATGGATGGATGGATACAGACAGACAGACAGACAGACAGATAATCTGAGATAGGTAAAAGATGATGGATAGATGGATTATCTCAGAGAGAAAAGAGATAGATGATCTGAGATAGATAATCACAGATAAATATAAGATTGTAGATGGATAGATGGGTGGATAGATTGATAATCAGATAAATGATGGTGGATGGTTGGATCATCTCAATCTTAAAGAGAGAAAAAAATCATCGATGATTTCAGACAGATAAGTAGAAGATACGAGAGAGAGGCGTACACACACTATGTCATTCAGGATATTGTGAGTGCTGCTTTACTAGCCCATGATCTGCTGTGAATGGTGCAGGAATCTAGGATCTGAGACATCAGAGGGTCTCTTTCCTTTCTTATCACCTGCTGCTTTAAGCAATCACCTGCTTGCAAAGCACCTGTTCTGCACTTGACCATTGATTTACCTGCCGAAAGCAAGAGACACTGCCTTACTCCAAGTCAAGTCAGGCCCTTTGTGCATCCAGCCCTCCGCTGTGTGCTGTGTTGGACATCAGCTTGCTAGCATCTAGAACAAAGGAGCCTTTGCTATCCCTTGATCC